TTCCAACCCCAGCCATTCTATGATTCTATCTGTGTAATCACAACAAGGGCTTCAAAATTTATTCCTTAAGCCCTATACTAGTACAAAAATTCATGCTTTAAGTGAAGCATTGCTGGAGTTAAAGTGGCTAAGAATTTATGATGCTGCTCATGGATTGTTCTAGCAATTAATTACACTGGAGTAAGGTGACACCTTCCCACCCAGCCACTCCCCCCCACCCTCCAACCACTTTATGGCACTGTTGCGTAAAACAGAATTTGCGTCATCATGTATGTACCTGCTCAAGTTCCCGGTATGAGGGTTTACAGCTGTGAGGTTCCTCCTTCATTTTCTGGCTGGAGTCCTTGTTCTCCCATTTAACATATGCCTTTCTGCGGCCTAGAATTGGGCTTGGAAATAGGGATGGTGGAGCTGCCTGGAGATGATTTTCTGGCGTCCTATGTTCTTTCTTCTGTGTCTGCCTACGAGATACGTCAGCCAGCAGCACAGAATCAGTCTGTGTACCTTTATGAACCACAGCTGGTTTCAGTCTCACTGAGATTTTCTGAGCTGAGGAACCCATGAGCATAATGGTTCGGTCCTTGCTGTCTTCATGGTGTTCCACTACTTCTCCATTAGGAAATGGGAATGGTCCTTCTTCTTGTCCTGCAGAATATATACATGGTAAGTTGAGTCAAGATCTTATCCCAGGAAAGGAGAAACAGGAGGCACAGTAATCAAACATTATTTTAATAAATAAAAAAAACACACTTTATTGATTTTAGATTCATTGCTCTCTAAAATAGGTGTCACTGGAAGCTTCTCAATGTTGTGTCTCTTGGAACAACTCTTTGCCCTAAGTACCATAAATATGGATCAGTTAGAGGAAAACAGGTCAGCCTGTTTGTGATTGTGTCCCTGAAGGTCAGCCAGAGAAAAACCTCTAGATGGCCAAGAGGTTTTATTATAGACCACTGACCTTAGTAATTGGGCTAGAAGATTAAACCTGAGTGTTAGCTCAGCTTTATCATAACTTGCAGCTGTAAGATACAAGTTATCTCATCCACTTTATAAAGGTGAAGTAATTACATTTTTAATTTTATACTGCTTTTATATAGGTCATCCTATAAAAGAAAACAAAACAAGACTATGTTCAAACACAAGAGGGGAAAGAACAAAGTCAGTCCAGTAGCTGCTGCAGGCTCTGGAGAATTAAATAAGGATATGGATGAACAGATGAGGCCTTTAGCCTAGGTGTGAATTCTCATTCTTCAACATGGCGTAGCATTGAGAGCTACCACGTTCTGGCCCACTGGGTGATGATGGGGCAACATGCTACTGTTCAATCTTTCTACAATCATGACATCCCACGAGGAGGTTATTATACAGTGCTGCAGCTATGGCAGGTGCAATCACAGTGAATATGGAGAGAGTGGGAACATCAAAATCAAAAGAAAAACAAATCAAAAGTAGCCTGAGGCCTTATTCAAGGACAACACTTCCTTCTTTGGAGGCCTACATGTTAATACACAATATGAGAAGTTGCTACAGCTTGTCTGATGTAAGGAGAAAAGAACATAGATTTTTCATTTCTGATTGAATGAAAGATGGACAGATGAAGAGCTGTATATTCAGCTACTGAAATGAAAAAAATAAACACAATTAGCTCTTGGTTTTCCTAGCATGGAGATACATAAGTAAACTGACTTTATAAACTCCACGTTGAAATCTGAGAAATAATTGTAACAGTGCAGTAGTCACTTAATGTGACAACAGTGGTAAAAGCTGGAGTGTGCCAAGACCTAATTGTGACAAAGTGAGAGCATTAAGGGAACCTGTCAGCTCTTCTTTTCATGGCATTTAGTTCTCATGAGTGTCTGTCAGAAGATTTCCTCAATTTTTGTGGAATTTGTGCACCACACTGTGTAGGGTGACAAGAGATCTCCCAGAAAGGGAGTCCTTATTTATTCAGACTAGAACCAGAACGGTTACTTGGTACAGGCTGACTTAATGCCTGGTTTTAGTTTAGATGTTGATAGAACACTGCAGTTAACTAACAAAACCTAAAATGATGCTGTACAACTCAGCTTTAAAAAGAAAAAGGAGCAAAGGAAAGATTATCTAGATCTTTTGATTTTTTAATGTGAGCTTTTCTCACCATGGAATTGCTCTTTGACTCCTACTGGGCAAAGGCTTGAAGCAAAAGCAGATGTTGGGCTGCTGTCTGCAACTGAAGTTTTGGGTCTTCTCTTGCACTCTATCACAACCAAGTCTTTGCATTGCTTGTGACAGTTCATTCCACAGTCTGTAAACAAAACAAAGTTTACATGATTCGGTGGCTCTGCTAAGCATCTAAGATCAGCTCTCCACACTGTGTTGCCTCCCCAGGAAGCAAGAAAACTTCGGTGTTCTCCACATGCATTACCTGTAATAACACACATCTGGTAAACAGACCAATGACATCCCTTTGCTATATATGCTTAAAACTCCTTTTCATTGTGAAAAATTAAAAATAGCAATCTTCAGTCGCAACAGCAGTCTGACTGTAGGAGTTGCAGAGAAAGCAGATACCTGTATGAGGAAGAAAACTCTGCAAAATACATGTTGTGAATGTGCTGCACAGTTTTCACAAAGTGTTGGTGTTTGCGCCCATTGGGATAGAAGGATCTGTTCCCAAACCCTCTGAATTCAGTGATGTTGTGCAAAGGGTTAGAGCTATCAGTTACGAGTTTCTTCATCTTTGCATTTCTTCTGAACCATCTGTCTGACACACATTAATCTGTCGTCTTCTGCTCCCTGAGAGGTCAGATTAAATAGATCAAACAGATCTCACACAGATCCAAGATCCATAGACATAGCAATGGATCTCAGGATGATCAGGTTTTTTGGTCATTGACCGTCAATTACAGATTGAAATCAATGAAGTGTAAAGTGCCTTACCTTTGCATCTGTATCCTTGTTTAATGACTCCCCATAGCTGAAATTCAAACAGAAAGAAAGACTATGTATTAATATATTTCTCCGCACATTTGACACCTCCAGATATAAAAATCCACTAAAAGCTCCACTCATTTCTAAGATGTGAGTACCTGCAGAATATCTGTAGTGCCAAGGTCAAAATATGAACAGTTTACCTTGTTACCATAAGGTAAACAGAATATTTTGTGTGTTCCTCAATCACAACAAAATACCTTGAGCTAGTCTCTCACAAATACATCAGCAGAGCTGACAGCCCCAAAGAAGCTGTGGAGCTGGAGTAGATGGAGAATTCTATCTCAGCACCCTTGTTTGATCCCAGCTACACTGGGGATTGGTAGCACACTTTTAGTAAGTCTTTCCGTGCCATAGGCAGGGGGCATGTCATGTCTGTACCAGGACAGGAGTTCTAACAGCCCCATGGTGTGGAAGGCTGTGGATTTGGAAGTCTTGCCTGAGACTGTTTGGTGACAAAACTGAAGACCACAAGATAGGAGCTATGTTTAAACAGATAATAGTACTGCCAAGAGGGGTGTACAGGGTACCTTACACAGCTACACGCGCAGAAGCCTGGTGTTCTGTATAGCTTCACTGGTGTTTTATATAGATCAATTTCTTTATATGACACATGGTGATTATGAGATAAAAAAGGCATTATTCCAAACAACATTAACATAATATACTAAAAAGTAAGCTTACAAATCCAGCACAGTTGTCGCAGAAAGTAGGCCTTAAGTAAGTGGTCTCTTGGAAGTTGTGAGCAAAGCCAAGTCCTAATTTGGAATAGATTGAGCTAGCCCTCATAAAGTAAGCTGTTATTTCATCCCTGCTAATCAGACCTTCCCTGAAAATAAATAAGAAAAGTTGTTTGTGAGACATATGTTTTCTTAAAAGCATAAGGAGAACTGAACATAACTTTCTTCACAATTTATAACGGCAACAGTTTCATGGACCAAAAACTACAGTGATTTCAGTAATCTTGTCAACTGCTCCAAAGTCTACAGAAGCTTATCTACACACTGAAAATGCAGCCTGTAAACGAAATACCTGCATATGTGATATAACCTCAAAACTACTTCATAGAAAACCTCTGAATAATAACTATTGTATTTTTTCATACTTTAGTATGTTAAGAAAAATGTTCTTAATTTGGACAAAATATATATTTCACAATTCTCTATTTTTGAGGAACAGGTTTACCTTGGGAAAGTTCTTTAGTAGTATACACTGAATATCATTCAAAAAAGTATTTATTTATTTTTCTATTGTTTTGTTCTTCCTCCTACAGTTAACCTCCTCAGTCTGGTTACCACTGCTGTAAGCTCATGAAGATGTAATTCACAAAACATTAAAGGCCAAAAACCCTTCCCAAAACAGATGCTACAAAGTTGATAAGCAGAACTAGGTACTCACGAGTCCTTAGCCATTACACAAAATGAGAATGGAAAACTGGCAGCTATCTTTTCAAATTCTTCCTGGGAAATGTATCCATCCTGATCATGGTCATAATTTTTGAAGACAGACTGTGCAAGATAATAGTAGAATAGTTTATAATGAGGATGGGCTGAATTGCCTCTTTAGAAAGTCTCCACAGTATTTATAGATTTCCTCTCCCACTTTCTCCCAGTATATGAAACAGTGCAACAATCTAACTGCTTTTTTTGCTTGAGAGTAAAGAAGCTTTATAATTTCCTGACTTGTAGCAAAATGTAAGTCAACATAGGCTGGACTAAATGCTTCACTACGCAATGTCAGCTCTTTTTTAGTTTTGCTTTAAGATCATTATGTCAAGGCCCACATACACAACTTGTACTCATGCTCTCAGTTGGTGCTCTCTCTGTAGCCAAATCAGTGTAGCTGCCGAGCTTATTTCATCAGGTCAGTGTTTTGTGAAAAGTAGTTATATGCCAGAATTGTCATGCAGATGCCTATTTCCACTTGTGGAACAACATTGCTTTTTGTCTCTGGCCCTAAGGCAAGGAGCATGCCTAGGCCAAATTTAGAAATACATTCCAAACCAGCATGTATCAAAGCATACCTACCGATATTAGAAGCGTTTAGAAGGAAAAGAGGTGAAGCAGAGTGCAAAGACAAACTCTTTACCTCTCTCTCCGTCAGTTTCGGAATCAATTACCTAAGCTTATTTAATGGTTTCCCCTAAAGCAAGTGACCCAAAAGAGAGGGAAAAAGCAACGGCTGCTACTAACAAAGTCATTGAGAGGCCCAGTTTCAGACTCCACCAGTAGCATCATGTTGGAGTCCCTGGTAGAAATGGACTCCCTGGCTCCTTGGAAGGATGACTCTGGAAGCATACAAGCCAGCATTGACACTCCCCACTGGCTCCTTAGCCATGTAAGGCATTTCCTTCCATGCCTCACAGGCCGCTGCTGCTATTTACAGCTAGGCAGAAATTTCTATTAGTGAGGACAGAAGTGCTTACAAACTAAGCACAGCTTTCAATGTGTCCAGTATTCTTTCTCTTCTTTGTATCTTCCCATACCTAGAGATGAAGGCTACGGCTGACATGTAAGGTAAATGGGCCAACCATACTTACATCTACCATCCTCTGAACGTGTTTGCTGATGGTTTTTGGATCAGGTTTTGGGGCGACTCCTGAGGCCCAGTCTGCAACTACTGGTGGTCTGGAAGGTGTCAAAGGCTAGAATAAATTGAATGGAACTTCATTAGTACCACATGGGAAGTTTTTCAGTATTACACTTCTTTCATTTGTGACAATGGACTATGCAATACAGGACTGCAGAAATGACCTCTTGGACCCAACATCATACTTTTGGTAATTGTGGGGTACTTCAGAGGAAGCTCTTCCCTGAACTGTCCAAAACAGTAATTGTTCCTTAAATTGTCACAGTTCTAAATTCACTGTATTTTCCATATTTATAAAACAGGAACAAAACTACAATATAAAACTCATGGGTTTAATCTTTTGAATCCCATAAGAATCCTTAATTTAAAAGCATCAATATCAATGGCTAAGAGTGAGCCTGGTGTCATGTCTCTACACAAGTAACTTAATTTAATTTGTGTTTGTGTTCATATTATAAAACCTGGTATTTTGTCAACTCTCCTATATATTCTAGCTTAGGCTTCATCATCAACCAAACAATTTATGCTTTAACAGATTTTGCTCAGTCTATAAAGCAAAAATGTTTTAAATTTAGTATAAAATAAAATAATAAAGTAAAATTAAATTAAATTAAAGAGTAAAATAAAAGCAAGGGATAAAAGTTATGTTACTCATTAAAAAATCTTTTTGTTAAGAATCTGGAAAGGCCCTTACTGCAGCTCGGTGACTTCGTGGCTCTCGTGCATATGAAAGCTCATAAATTTCATCTTCTGTGTAGTAAAGATCAAGGGACAACTGAAAACAAACAAAAATTAGTTTAATCCCACAACAGTCCCTACTATTTGATGAACCTGTTTCTGCCATGCATTAGTATTTTTTTGGTGGATCACTTTTAATTTACGTTGCACCTAGAAAAAACGCACCTGAGCTGCACAAGTGTACAATTCCAGGCTATTATTGCCATTATTTAGAAATCTAACATTAGGCAGCTACAGCCACGAGTACAGCAAGTGACTACAGGCATAATTAGCAGTCAGTTAATACGTAACCTGAAAAAAACTGTTATTCCCACAATACAGTGGTCTATCATGCAACTGAGCAGAAAAGCACCCTTCCAATGAAACTGTCCATCAACTCAAATTCCCAGAAAACTCTTGTTTAAACATGTCATATACATCCAATGCAGCTGTGACCATGTTGAACTAAGAAGTATATGATGAGGATAAAAGATGGACTTGCATATATTTAGTGAGAACCTTTAGCTGTCAACAGCAGTTATGTAAAGCAAGAAACATTACAGCTGGGTAAATAAAGGAATTTACAAAAATTATCAAATTTATACCTTTGCTTTTGCATGTGTCCTGGAAAATAGTATATTTTATTGACTGGAAACAAATTTCAAGCTAAGACTGAAGACTGGTAACATGACACTTTTTGAATATTTACATGAAAATATTCGCACTAGACATTGATTGAATAGACACAGTGATTAAACAGAAAAGCCAGACATAAATGTGTTGCAAGCCTCAATCTACGGCCAGTCCAAAATATAAACTTGTTACAGAGTCAGGATCACAGCAGTCATATGTATATAAACTAAGAAACCAAAATATGCTATTTTATACAATGAATAGCCTTACCCAATTGCAGATACACAATAATTTTCTTGTGAACAGCTGCAAGAATTACTGTTGTAGTCATAATACTGAATAATTTTAGATTCTTGGGGAAATCTTAAAGTAGTTTCTGACACTCAAAAACCAAAAGTCCAAATGTTACAATACTTCTATGAATTATTGACTTATGTATGTAACTACTAATACCTCTTGAAACTGATTTGCCTGCTAATGGGAAGGCATGACCGAAGGAAACAGAAGAAGGAGAAACCATCGGAAAAACCAGGGAACAAACAGAAAAATTATGTGGACTGAAACATTAGCAGTTTAAAAGCTCTTGCTTTGAAATGAAGTGTTTCTTATAATTTATATTCTGTCATATATAGCTGCATTAAATTGTAGCCAAAGTTCTACACATTTGTAATAGCCATTTTTATAAAACCTTACTATTAAAAAAAAAAAGGCACAATAATTTGAGACAAAACAACTAAAACATTTATCAGGAAGAAATTCACTACTTTATGGAGCTCTATTTCAGGCCCTGGGCATATGTGCTTAATTTCACACATGAGCACTCCCAGACAGAACAAATAACTTCAAGCACACAAGCATTTTTTATCTATTTTTATCTATTAGCTTTTTGCTGAAACAGGGCTTATAACCAGAAAGTGGAAGCAGCCTATCTAGTTTTTCCAAGCTGATGTACTTGTTAAAGCCAAATAAAACTAAGAAACAAGAAAAGCAGATTGACTATTTTAATAAAAGGTAGTATTTTAACTTACTAGGAGAAACTAAAACTATTGTTGTGACATACGTCCTGGGTAATACCAATTTTCTTAGTAACATGGCACTGACTAGATATGACTGGAAGAGTAATACAACAACTATATTTGACTAACATTTATGTCAGACAGTTTTTTTAGTACCAGAAGAAACTTGACTAGAAATGTGGTATGTTTAACATTACGCATTTTCAGGGACTGAGCTTTTATGTGAAAGTCAGTGTATCCAACACAAGGAAGCTTTGTGCAAAGGCAATCTTCTGCCTCCAAAGTGCATCTAAGGAAGCTTTCTACCTTTCTCCCTACTGAGGCTTCATCAGCAGAGGATTCAGAGTGCTTCATTAGTGAATGTACAGAGAGAATGCACACTACTATACCAAAGCAGAAATAAACATTTCCTTCCCTTACAGAAAATAATGGGAAGCATACTGCTGAACTGGCACCTCTACCCTTGCTGCCAGATAATCGGTATAACTTTTTCTCTTCTTTCATTATTGTATATGTCCTTAAGGAAAAAAGTATCTTACAACATTGTGTATTTATATTTAATGGACTTCTCTACTTAAGTTGTTTGAGAGGTATATGAAATTATTTTTAAAATGGAGGTATTTACCTCATCTAACAGACTTACTGTAAGCAAATGAACAAGGTCCATATTAGCCTCCAGGGGAAGCGGCATTTCCTGGAGTTGTATCAGCTCATTTATGTGGTTATACAGAGAGAACAGTTTGTATATGTTAATTTTTTTATCCTCCAAGTAGTCTGGCATGCCCTCATAAAGTGATATCAAGTCTTTCAGGTGGACTCCAAGGATTGGGATCTTAAAGTTACTGCACTCGTTATAGGCACGTCGGTAACTATCATAATTTCTGTAAGATGAAAGCAGTTCTGTCATTTCATTAAACACCTACAAATAAAAAGAAAACAAAAAATCAAAATTGGTTACTGTTACTGTTTGTTTGGGTCATACAGCACAAGAATTTCCCATGTTATTGTTAAGTGGTTTACTCACAATGACTCTTGAAACAGTTTTTAAAACTTCAGGCTTCAAATTAAATCTAGGTATTCACCTCACCTAATTTAACGACCTATAATATGTAAATATAGATAGTTAATATATAGCCTAATCTATAATGCTGGTCTTCCTACATTCCTATAGTTGGTCAATGAAAAGAAACAGGATCCTCTCAAATGAAGGGGATGTGTATGTAGTTACATGTATGTAGTAAGCACAGCACAAGCTCTCTGACCTTCATAAAAGCAACAACCTTCATAGAATCATGGAATGGCCTGGGTTGAAAAGGACCATAGTGATCATCTAGTTTCAACCCCCCCACCATATGCAGGGCCACCAAGCACTAGACCAGGCTGCTCAGAGCCACATCCAGCCTGGCCTTGAATGCCTCCAGGGATGGGGCATTCACCTTAAAATGTGGGATGCACTTCTCTAGCTTCCAGGTCACCCGCTGGAACTGCTGGAATTGAAAAGTCCTGGCAGAGAAACCCTACGTTGTGCTATGGTCCCATTACAGAACTCCTACTACAGTTCAAGGTGGCACATCTGTGCCTTTAAGAAAACTTTATTTCCATGGAAATGAAGAAGAAACAATGTATTGGACTTGTTGCAAAGGCCAAATGAATCTCAAGTCTAGCATTATTATTTCCCTTGTTTAAAACTATACAGGTACAAAGCCGACTCTAAACATTATAAAATCAATGGACGAATGTTTTCTTGTGGAAGTTCCTAACCCGTTGATTTTTAACCTTCACAAACTGCTTGTTATAGTTAAACTATAAAGTGTGTTCTCAAGTCACTAATTACCAGCCCTTATTTACCTGCTTTCTATTGGCACCTGTATACAATTTCCAGATGCAAAAAGTTATTCAAATGATGGGACACATAATTGCAGTTCACTCCTCGTAATGACAAAATTTGTAAAACAACACATTGCTAAAATAAGCTTGATAACTGGTTTTATAGATCCTGAGAGCTGCAACCATTATCAGTGGGAGGTCAAACGTCTGGTCTATGCTCCAGGTACGCACTGCTCATTTAATCTGATGATACTGTGATCAAAACAGGTTCATTAGATACCTATATGAAATCTTTCAGGCCCCAAACAGGATAAAATAATACAGCATATTAGTCTTTTAAGAAGTAGTGTCCTAAGAAGCCATTGCATTGCTAAAATATATGCTTTCCTTCAGCTGTAGTAGCCAGAATTTCAGCAAAAAATATATCCATCTGTATTTCACAATAATTTAATTGAAAATTACAACTGATTTCTAACATTCCACTGTGTGTATTATAATGTATATGTATTAGGGCTAAGTTTGTTCAAATCTGAACTAGATAAAATCTGTCAAAAAAAAACGATGAACAAAAAAAGTCCTTTCAATTTTAAACTTGAAGTGCAGAGCTCTGTGCTAGCATTTCATAGACTCAGGACGGTCAGTGTTACTATGGATGACAATAGTTTTGTTCTCAGATGTTCTAGGATCCAGTTCTCTGCTTTCAGGTTTGAATGCTCTTCTGTACTACTGCATATAAATAAAAATGCATCTTGTCACATCTGAGTATTAAAGGAGAAACTTTTGAGAAGTGATACAAATGTTGAAGAAAGGTGGAGTTGGAAGAGTAGGAGTAACTGGCGTTGTAGTGATGTAATGACAAAGAAAAACCCTCTAAAACCAAAGGAAATCTTCATTTTTCTTTTTTTTCTGTCTTTCTCTCCATTTTATCCAAGTAAGTTTGGTTTTTGTGGGTGCAATGAAAAAAAAGTTAAAGGTTATCTTATCCATAAAACTAAGAGGCGCAATACCAACCTTAATTACATCATGAGGAACACACGAGCTTGTTTCCTTGAGTCTGGAAATGGAACTGTGACAGAGACCTCCTATCACTGCCATTAATGTATTGAAATTCTGCAACTGGTGGAGCTTCTGTGGTGACATTTAAAAAATAATAATCAGTATTTAATTATTTAAAGGTTCAAGTTATTCAATATGCACATCCAAACTCTACATTTCCTCTATTGTCTTTCAGTCTTACAAGTTTTGTGCCATTATCCATTTGACTTAATTCATTTTGGTACTAAGTGGGTGTAACATGTACTTATTCTACTGTTATTAAATCAGATATTAATTCTGTGGATACGGTAAGTCTTCGAAGTACTTCCTCAGTACTTCTCCCTCTCCCCACAGTCTACCACAACTAGGAAACACTGCCTATTATCTTGGCTATAGCTGCAGTTGAATTAGTATGCAAAGAATACCAGTAGGACCATAGCTCTGCTTCTATCCAGTAAGGTGTATCTGGTAGAAATGCTTCTAATTATGGCCAAAGGCATGATAGCGGTTTGTGCTTTAGAAAGGTATGCAGTCAGAGCTTAGAATCTCTACCAGCTGATGCAAAAGCACATCTAGTTTTTCAGTGAAAATTTCTTCAGAATGAATATGAGAAAGTAATGGTGTCATGACACAGTAATATCGGAATACTTGGTCTGAAAGCACAGCACATATGGTTGCTGTGTCTATGAACCAGGAGACATGTATGTACACATGCATGCTGTATGTATGAACCAGGAGACCACTGCCAACACTCCCAGCTGACCCCACAATAGTAGCATGGAAAGAGCAACTAAAGGGCTGTATCAGAGAAAGACAAAAAAAAAAAAGCACGTGTCAAAATTTAACTGACCTGTGCAACGTGAATGAACTTGATGAACACTTCAGCCCTAAGCTGTGGCGTTGGTCTGCTGAGAACCATTAGCTGCACCCACTGAGAGATACCATTGCAAAGAGCAATTGATCTTTCCATTGTTGGATTCTCCTTCACATTACTATTCACAATGTAGTTCTGATAATCTGAGAACTTAAAAAAAAAAAAAAAGGCAAATGAAAACTCATCTACAGTTTCATATACCTCATGATCTGTGTGCAGATACAGGTCTGCTTTTCAAATAGCACATGCAAGATATATTTTACACATTAAATATCCACAAGACTGAAATGTCTCCTTTCTCAAAGCTTTGTTCATGTCAAAGCAGAAGGCTTCAACTAATTGAATAAACTGAAAGCATGTTCTCACCATAATTTGTATCAGATCATTTGCATCATTTGTATCTCAGGAGCCTTGGCTCTTATAAACCCCAGGATGAGTCGAACTGAGGCTTTCCTCCCAGCCTCAGTGGCTCCATACATCCATTAAATTGAGGCTTCTACAGGGAAGGATGAGCTGAATGTAAAGTGTTGTCTAGTAACTCAGCAATAGTTTAAGGAAGTTCAAGGAAGTTAAGTATCCCGTTTGTGTAGGCAGGGCACACTGCTGAATTAAGCTATACTAATACAAAAAGCAGGTTCAATGAGATTAACATAAAACTGAGATAAGACCATTAAGAATGAGGGCCACAGATTCCTTGATATTTTTAATATAGCTTGTGAGATTCTCTTATTTAACCAAAGTGATCTAAAATTGTTCAGTAGACACCTGTATGTGATAAATAGGGGTTTTTAAAGCCATTCTTCCCATTAAGATCAAAAAGAAGCAATCATTTTTTTTTTTTTTGCTGATGCAATGTTTATCCATTCTCTTGATTTATCCATTAACAAGAATACACAAGTTGTTACTTTTGATTTATCCATTAACAAAAATACACTACTAACTAATACTAACATCTTACCAAAAACATTCATAGCTGTAATAGACACATATTCCTTTCTTAAGACCACAGGAATATGCTGAATGGCATTGATCCTGAAGAAAAGGTCATAAATTGTCAGACCACTGTTTGTTTCTTGCTCTCCCTCTTTCACTCTCTCTCCACTTTTTAATTTTTTTCCATCCATTTAACAAGAACTACCAACAATTTTAAAAAGCAGATATGACAGCAGACATCTCTGAATTTGTCCTCTTATTAAATTAAAAATGGAAGAAACATTAACAAGTAGAGCTATCTCTAAGATTACATAGTACTTACAATTATTTTTCGAATTTTGAACCCAAGTCAGATTTGGCTGGATCCTGAAATTTAAGTGACTACTCTATAAAGATAGATATTTTTTCAATATCTGACTACGTAATTATGGACTTCATAGCAGTTTCAGTACAATTATGAATCAGTTTGATTAGTTTATAATTTGTTCTCAACAGCCCTCTCCTTCAGAAAAGATTATTTTTAAATGCTGAACAAATTTATATCTAACATACTGCTTAAAGTTTCAAATAATTTTGGTGCAAGAATTAATTAACAAGGTTAGGTGTAACAAGATTGCTAGTGGCAGATATGGTAAAGAAGTCCAGGTACTTAAATAATGCAGGAGTCTGTCTGATATTGCAATGACTAACTTAAGAGCCTTGACAGGAATGGAGAATCCAGGTTTTTACTAAAGAGTGTAGCCTCCCTGTATTTTATAACTATAAATTAAAATGGTTTCCAAACACCAGCATACCTTCAGTCATTACTCTGTGAACACCACTCCCTGCATTTTTCTTTGCTGCAAGATACATGGAGTCTCATGGAAGACTTTGCTGTGTGCTGTATATGTTCAAGGGATCAAGTATTCCTTTCTGACTTTCAAATGACCAAACCTATGAATAGTTATTCCAGTGACTGATAACACAGCAGATCATTTGCAGCCTTTCTCCCAGTATATGCTGCCAGGTTAGAATAACAAAAGGATTCTGCAGCTTAGCATATCATGAACACATTCTGCAAAGAGTTAATGAATGTAGCTATTCATTAATTAATTCATTAATAATTTATTAAATAAAAAATAATATTATTTTCTGATCTGAGGTCTCGGTAAACTCAATTTATACCAAAACATATGCAGGGACCCTGCATATAAAATGTATACAAGTATGTAACTCTATGACACATCTGACACTCTGCAATAATAGTTATGCTCATTAATTATTAATTACTTTATGTCTGCACAGAGCTTGAAAATGTTAAGGGTTATATAAGCTTTGCCTATTATTACTGCCTACAGGCAGCAATCTGTGCATGACTTTGGTTCTGTGACTTTTTGAATTTAACCAAAACATGAAGAGTCATGTACTATCAGCTCAAAATAAAGTTCACTAACACGACTGTGAAATCTTCCACAATCTATTGAGAGCCCCTTTCCTTGCAAGACTTCATCTTCAAACTGTAGTGTTTAAAAAAAAAAAAAGAACAAAAAACAACAAAAACAAAACAAAAAAGCATTACATAACCAAAGCAAACAAAAACCACCTTTGCTTTCACTGTTATCATCACACTGACTTTGCAACCATCTTAGATTTTGGTCTCTAATGTTCACTTTTATTTTCTGTGTGTGAAGTGTATCGGGTTTGAATAGAAGTAATGTAGCAGCATACAAGTGAAGCCAAGGTGCACAGGGAAGTAGCATCTTATCAGCTACCAACATAGCTGGCAAAACAAATCAAATGAAAGAAAACATAAATGAGAGGAATACTTAAGTATTGTTTGTGTACTTGAAAGCTTGTCTAATAAAATATTTTAAACCTCCCTTACATTAAAAAATGGCATTTTCTCAAGTGCTTTCTTATCCCTCGTCTTTATTTTGTTATGCACAAGAAAAAATGGCAAGCAGAGTCCAGTGGACATCTATACAGACAGTCCATTAGTCACTGCAGAAGAATGCTACACTGTTTCCTACAGCCACAGGAGGTAAGCATTCTAAGAGAATATTCCAAGTTTCCTTCATCCCATTTCAGCCTGTTCGCTAATTTGAGTCAAAGGAGGCTGCTTGTTCCTGTGCCCAATGACACCACTTGTTCTAACAAAAAGAGATTATTTGGAAAAAGATGAAATGGTTTACTCCTCTTCCTTCCAACTGACCTTGCCCCAACTCTGTTCCACAGTTGCTTAAAAGGTTCACTCTCCCTCTCTCAATTGACTACAGCGAAAGGGCATGTACTGAGAATAAGCACCACTGGCCACCTTCAACACTAATAAAACAAAAAGAGTCTGGACACAGACTCAGCTTGTCCAACAGCTTGCATTGCAGGGTTAATCTTGTGATGCTAACCCTCTCCCATCTTTTCTATGTCCTTCCCATTTTTGTTTAAAACAAACAAACAAACAAACACACACATCACTTACTGATATTCTTCTGAAAGACTTAAATTCAAGATAGGTAAGGTGGTCTGACAGCTCCTCTGGCTCAAGGTGATCAAAAAGAAGCGAGACTTTCCGTTTCTTGCTGCTGTTGGCCTTTACACGCTGTGTCAGCTTTCTAGACCAATCCCTAGAATTTCTTTTAGACAAATTTTAAAACAGAATTATCCTGAGTTATTTTCTGAAGAGCAAATTTTTCCTCCCTCCCTAACACAAAAGTAACATTGTTTTCATGTCTTACTGCAATAAAAAGTGAATTATTTGAATTTCTAAATAGCAAGCTCCTTTCACGTACTAGAGATTGTATGACAAAACATTATTGTTTGTCTTTATTATACTGATGTAGCATGTAAGTACAACTATATTACTAGACAGCATGAGATTTATATTGCACTTCCAGAATTGCTGTCCATAATTTTGTCCTCGCAGAACACATCCAGTGCTCCTCCACGTAATAATTCTTACAGATTTCCTTGACCAGCCTCTGAATATGAACTGTCCTCTTATGCTATCCACTCATGAAGTAATTAAATTTAAATGGATTTGAAAAACTAAATATCCTCTTTCATAACTAGGTAAAAAACATTTGCCAAATTCTGCTCTGCTTTTGCCTGTGCGTTTCCAATGAAAGTATGAATTGACACTGCTATACAGTTCTACAGAACTATCTTACTCTCGTATAACAAGGAAGGTTCTCTTCTCAAGGAAGAACTACATGATGTACAGCTGTAGGATTTATTCTTGAACAGGACAAGTAATTTTATAACTAAAATCACATAAAATAGTATCAAGAGTTTGACAATGTAGTATACCTTCTCACTTACCTTTGGTGTTAAAAATATAAACACTCTTTTTTTACCTCATCTGTTACCGAATCAAAATATATTCTCCTTTCTCGTTGACTTCAAGTGATCTTTCAAAACCATCAGACCTCTACAAATTTCTACGTTCCCTGGACAGAGTAAAATTTATCTAGCATAGAGAATCAGCATAAAGACTACACAGCAGTTAAATTCAACCTAAGGTATTCCTGAAAGGCATTCTGTTCCTCTATGTAACATATACTTCATCTATAATGATGTATAAACACTCCTAAGGATAGATAACATATGACTTATTAAAATTAACCCATTATAGAACCATTAACCTGCTATACTGGAGAGACACTACATTTGAAAAAAGGAAATTCAGAGCAAAAGTTTTTTTTCTGAGCATATTGAGACTTTGGCACTCACATTTGAGTTGTGTCAATTAGACGACAGTGTAACTCCTCACCATTAGCTTTAACCAGTTCTTGAAATTCCTCCATAGTTGTGGACAGTTTAGAATCCATTTTGAACATAACCCAGAACTCCGTAATCCAATACCTATTGCACATCAAAAATACAGAAACACAAAAACATTAATTAAGACTGAAATTCAGATATTTGCTCCTGTTTGAGTTGTATTTCTTCTTGATCAAATTCAGGGTATAGATTTTGCTTTAAGATGCTTTTGCTAGGCTACCTTGATTTTATCAAAATTCAAAATTTCAAGATTAAAAATTAATTAGAAACTACTTGGCTTAATGCTATATAGAACTATACTACATATATGTTTGCAATAGTCTGTATTATATTTTCTAGTTTCACATGAAATCTAGATAATATGTATGCTGATTTTTTTCTTCATGAACGTCTAGATAATTTTATATATTCCTTTAAAACTTGAAATGATTTTGTCTGGACATCAAAAAAATGCACTATGCTAGTCAGAATTTTATCTATTAACTGAGGAAAAATTTACTAATTAAGTATATTCAGTAGTTTACAGGTGATTCAGTCTCACATGCACAAAAGATTTTCAGAGAACTACACTTTTCTGTGTTGGGCATTCAAATTGTTTCAGCCATAGATTTTATATTTCAATGCCTATATGTGACTTGTCACCCACTGTGGTGGGTTGACCCTGGCCAGCAATTAAGTACCCACCCAGATGCTCACTCACTCCTCCCCCCCCAGCAGTAGAATGGGGGAGAGAATAAGAAGGGCAGAAGTGAGAACAATGTGTACGTCAAGATAAAGACAGTTTAATAAATGAACGAAAGAAAAAAGCCAACCAACCAAGCAATTGAAAAGCAATCGCTCACCATCTCCCACAAGATGCCCAGCCAGTATCTGAGCAACAGCTACTTTGGAATGGTTACCCCCTGAGTTTTTATTACTGAGCATGATGCTGTATAGCATGGAACACGCCTTTGGTCAATTCAGGTCAGCTGTCGCAACTGTGTCCCCTTCCAAGTTCAAGCTCTCCCCTAGCTTACACTCTGGGGGGGAGGGGGGGTGGAGCAGAGTGAGAAACAGAAAGTCTTGATGCTGTGCAATCACTGTTCAGCAATAGCTAAAACAGCGTGTTTTACTCACAGATGAAAAGCCCAGCATCACAGGGGCTGCTATGAAGAAAGTTAACTCCATCACAGCCAGACCCAGCACACCTCTGCATGTAAAAATCCATACTTGTTGGAAAAATGGAAACGCTTATGGATGCACGCATGTATGAATTTGTCTAGAAGCAAAAATGTTCCCAGATCACATACAATATCAAAGTATTCTGACCTAACCAGCAATCCCCTTTGAGACAATATCATCACCATTTAAAACAAATTTTACTTTTCCTAACTGTTACTACTTGTTTCCCATTTTGTGTAAAAAAGATATCATATGCTAATCTATTATCAGAGTTACATCTTTCTTTCCTCTTCTGTTTTCTCTGAATGGACATATCAACCTTTACTATACTTAATTAAAAAAAAAAAGTGATACATTGCAAGTAAGTAGAATTACTAAGCAGACTTACCTACCGAATGCAATAGAGTTTTGCTTAATATAAAAATAGCTACAATATCCCACCTCATTTTTAAATAGACCTATATAAAAATGTTAGACACAAGGTTACCAATTCCTGAGCACTGTCAATTTTCACTGATGTTTAAGACACAGATTGATACAGACTCAGTTCAAAACTGTGACCCAACACATGCCCTGACTTCAATGGATCTGCACAAAGCCCATGGGGCCTTTTTGTGCCAAGTTGCTAAAGTGAACCTTGAAAAGCTGAAGCAGCAGCTTAAGATATGCAAAAGCATTCTTATGTATGGCACATGGATAGCTGCCGACCAATAGCTACTAGCAAGAATATTCTTACCTCACAAAATAGCATATCTTTACACACAGCATGGAAGATTTATTTTCTAAAGCATTAAGATAGGTCGAAAACTGTTAAGGAAAACCACATCCATTCACATTTGATATGAAATGTAACATCCTGGATACTTCCCTACCTGTAAGCAAGAAGAATCATTCTACTGACGGCATATAATATCAGATTAGGGTTTTACACAAGTGTATACAAAGTATATTGCAAGATCATTATCAAAAGGTTATTGTAAATATAAGTACTATCAGTAATACTGATGTAGCCACCCAAGTACTGAGTAGTGTTAAGTAGTGAAATGATTCTGCTTTCTACATGTGTTTCTTGCCAACATGCCTCACAATTTCTAATAAAACTCATGCACTTGCACGTCTCAACAAAATTTTAAACAGTAATACTAAATTTAACAATTATTGCACTTATGAAGAAATTATTTTCAGTTAATTATGATTCAACGGAGCTTTTCCAAAATAGATGCTGTTTTCCTTTAAACATAACCAGTGGTATGCAACGGTCAAGAAAAATGTGAAATGCCTCTCCTTGCTAACCTCATCTTTCTAACTATGCAACAGTTTGCATTTGACTTGCTGTGATAACTGGAAACACACATATTTTTGGTCTGATAGCTTTATAAAACATATTTTGATATTGTAGCCAATGTCTTTTGAAAACATGGAAAAATCCATTTGGAAAAATGTATCACTTGATTCTTCTGCTGCAGATTACACACCTATTTTCAGTACTAAAAAACACAGTTTAATGAAAATACCTTGTGGATCATCCCACAATCGGATTGAAATTAACTGCAGCCTAAATCTACCAGAACAGAAAGGATATACCATCCACAATTTAAGCACCCACATTAAGTGCTTAAATTAGGCCGACTATAGAAATAGTGACTTCTGAATAAGTTCCTATGTATTTTGAAGGCCCCCAACTGAATGTCTGAAGTTAGATGACTTACAAATCATCTGTAACCATCTAAAATCACTCATGTAATTTAGGGGATGGAAAGTGGTGAAACTGGGACATTTGCAAGATTTTTCAAAATACAAGAGCCTTGACTATCTAATCCATTCCAAACTGTCTATACAGTCATATATATACTCTATACAGAGTCCAAAACCAAGCTTGTAAAATATGCAAGCCTGATAAAAGCTTGAATCACTTCTCTGGCTGTAGAAAATATTACTTCTCAGAAACCTGCACGTAATTACTTCCGTTTTCAAAGAGCGCATGAGCTTAAGTTAAACGCAACACTACACCACAGCTGCAGCTTAGCACACTTCTCTGTCACTCGTTAGAGAAGCAGCGAGATGGTCAGAACGCAACACTACAGTAGAGCTCTGTTGTAAATGATGCTGCTTTTAAAAGTCAGTAAGATACAGAGTTTGGGGAAAAAAAGGATTATCTAAATTAAATTGTACCAAAATTGGCTGGAGATTCTTAGCATATCAACTCTGCTTCCTGTACTGTGCTCAGCTAATTAGGAGTAAACATTCTGTAAAGCTAAGTAGTCAGGAAATACATTCCACAATTAAAAAATCCTAAGAAAGACTAGTATTGCCAATATGATCCAGTAGCTTCATTGTGAAAAATCTAATGAGCCAGAAACACACGTGTATGAGTCCAGGCAGTCACATCAAAATGGGAATGAATAAGAAGGAAAAGCTTATGATTTATTTCAGTGCATTGTAATTTTGAGCGTGCAAGTGAGAAATAATATTTGTTGAAAATTTTCATCTCCAGATGATACAATCAGAGCATTTTCAAAAATTACACTTTCGTTCTTTGGTCTTCTACTTGTATAGAGGACAGAAAGAGAGAGAGAGAGACCTGAAACTTCAGCTTCACACTACCTAACTAAGATGCCAACACCTGCTAGATACTCCCTCCATGGCCAATGGAGGGTGATTTATCCTACTTAAAATCTGAATTGGAGTTTCATCTTCTTCTCTGTGGATGATAAGCTAAACCAACCAAACAAAACACCCCAACCCTACACCGAACAAAAACACACTATACAACCGAAAAGTGTAAAGAGTAAGCATACTGTTTAATTAGTGGAACAGTAATACACCCATAGATTAAATACGCTCTACTTACCCATTTCAAAGTTGTCAAGTTATCTAATATTACCTTAACAGCAGGTGAATATTACAAAGGATATAGATCAATGAGTTTCTGGAGCATGTCTGCAGATGAAATGACAAACTGATGCATGGCCAGAATTATCTTTAGCAGCTGGTTGTTTTGATATGCGTTTCCTTCTAGATCTGAAAAAAAAGGAGGAGTATTCATATTGAAATCTTGGTGGACCTTGGTAAACAACTTGCAAGAGGCTTTTTCAGAATACTATTTCTAATCAAGCCTGTTCATGTACACTACTTCATAGACAGCAGTAACTTACTAACTTAGGGAGTACATCATTTTTTCAATGAGAGCTGTGTAACAACAATTACATTTCACTACCAGGATTTGGAAGATCCTTGCAAAAAAAAAAAAAAAAAAAAGGCAAGCAAAAAAGCAGCTGTGTCTCAAGAGCACTCAAAATATCCAGATAATTATACATAAAGATCTTCTCTCAGCCCAGCAATGCACCTAAATGCTTAGCTTTAGGCAGATGAGTATAAACTTTGAAACAAATTAATGAATTACAGAGCAAAAGAATTCAGTTACTGATCCATACCAGTCACTCCACGGTATGACTGAACTTATCAAACAGAATGGCGATATTCTTAAGTGTTTGTGAGGCTTTTTGTACAGCTGAAGTACATAACATGAAAGTACAAGCACAGGTTAGAATCTATACCTAGATGTGCATGAAATGAGGTATAATGTATGCAGCAGCCCAGAGATTAACCTACGTGTACTCCAGATGGTGGACCTAAATGTCCTAACACATTTCCTTGAACTATGTGTTACAAGAATTTAACTTAGAGAAGATTTTTAGACTACATTTATCTTCTGGGTCTTGTTGGGTTTTTTTCCATATTCAGAAAAGATCAAGGACATCAAATGTAGCAGAATGTTTACAAAAGTTTCCATTTCTGTAAGAAACACAGTAGTGAAAGTGTTTGTAAATATGAAGAGATGATGTTTTTCTACAGCCTGCCATGAAAGAACCTAAGTAGCTTGAATTGGAATTAGACACCCTTTCAAGCACAAAACAAAATTTGCCTTTCTGAATAATTTTAAATACCTTGTCTTCCATGAGGATAAATGGACTTATCGCTTAAAATGCCAATAACAGGAACAATATACAGAAGCAATGCAGAGTAAGGCAAAATGCAAGAGGTAGGTGAAACAGCAGATTTGCATCATATGAAATGGCATCTGTTGCTGGGGGGTGGGGGAACCCCCAAACATTTTCAAATTGCACAACACCAAAAATGAACTTTAAACTTAACCCACTTGCAAAACAATATAATCCATGTTACTCATTGAGCAACAGTTTCCATGCCTTTCCACAGCAAGGTACCAAAAGTGAAGAGAGAACCCCAGAGCCCAGGCCTCTCCTTTTGAATAGTACGTTGGATCTTGGGTAGAACTAAAAAAGCCTGATTTCCTCTATATCTGTCTCCTCTATTCTTCACTCCACAATAGTCCTATTCATGCCTAGTCTTTTCCTTCTCTTCCCCACAACAATGCCATAACTCCTCACTCATGCTTAAAGATATCAGCTACACAAAAGCAATACATGCTCTGCTTGAATCCAGGCTGACTGGCCAGACAGCAAACCAAATCAAACCAATCCCGGGCTCATACAACTGCCCCTACACCAATGTGGGCACCAATCTGGATGTCTCTCTTCTGCACAAGCAACTACTTGAGATTCCTACCGTTCCATCAAATTTAGCTTAAGATGGCAGACAGGGTGACTATTTCATGGAGAGTAGATGTAGTTTTAGTAGGTAGGTGACTCAGAATGGCATAGATCCGTAGTTTACAAATGAAGTTATTTTAGCTGACGGTTTGAAGCCTTGAAAGCAGAGGACATGCTGGGTATCATATACCTGTTGTAGGTAACTTCATTCTTCAAAAGCACAGTTTGGAGAAAATTCAATACAGTAAACAGTTTCAAAATATCTTACTATAGCAAGACTTTCAGGCAAGATAAGTAGAAAAATCCTGATCACTAAATTCTGGCAGAGCCTATGTAAACATGCAGCAACCCAATCAGCACTATCAAGCCCAGAACAAGAACCTTATGCATCCAGTGATCTTTAACACTGAACATGAGGCCATTTTCTGTATCTGCCTTCTGTAGTTACACTTTAACTGTAAGGAGCAATTCTATCTACAGCAACATGGGCGAGGGGAAATTATGCCTGTCCTACAGCCCCATAAATGAGAGCAGTATAGACCCCAAGTAACCAAAACTTTTTGAGCTGCCTTTTGACTTACACTAAAAGTTCTCAGTTTTACACCATGAATCGAAGTTCATGCATTCCTTGTTCATGTTCTCACATAATTTCATTAATTACCTAAAGAATCCTTCTGGGATATAAACTGCCTAGGTATTACAGCAGGTGCACCGAGGGCAAAACAGTGACGTACTCAGCTGCAGAAGTGGGAAATTTGCAGAGGAAGGCTGGGACATCAGGAATCAACACTTACTAAGGCCTTTAGTATTTGGCATTTTGTACTCTTCCAGTGTCTTCAGGAGGAGTAAAACTATTTTAAGCCTTGCACGCAGAGGCGTGTATCAATTTTCATCTGTTTTACAAAACCTGGTGTTCTGCCAGAGCCTCCTTGCAACAGCTCTTGTTTAATCAGAAAAGCAGTTCAATACATGCTCAATTTGGAAGCCAAATGGTTATGGGCACAAATACTATTAAGCATATACAGCTGTAATTAAATCACCAGTTTTTCAGAAGTGTTCAATATAGATCATCTCCAGATGACAAAGACAGTAAATAACTCTCTCTCCGAGCAGTTTCTCCTTGGTGTGTATTCCAAAATCCTCTGCCATGACATAACACAGGTATCACTTGGCACCAGCTTCCAGATTGAATTTCTGTCCTCTAGAAAGTCTCTTTTCCTTTTTAGATGCAGAGAAAGACAGTATGTTCTGCATACTATTAGTGATTAGGTCAACACAATTACGGTATTTTCTTGCATAATGAGAGTGCGTTTATGCTTCACAATATCCAGACCTAATTATCACACAAGAGAGACAGACTTCATCACGGTGACATGCAATTATCTCTCACACATTAAAGCAGTACTAAGTTTTGTGCTATCCATTCTCTCACGCAACTAAAAGGCTCAACTCCACGAAGAAAAACATTGTATTAGTGGTGGTTTAAAAACGAAAATAAACACTCTGCACCAAAAAAATCTTAAGGTTCCCAATACAGCTCAGCACTGAAGAGCAAGTCTGCATGGAACTGTAGCAACACATGATTTAACAAACATCTGCAGTATCAAATATTTAGTATCATCTTCCCATCCCATTTTAAAGGGAAGAACTTTTCAAGTGCATATGCCATGATACAACAAATGTTACTAAAAATAAAAATTTTGAGTCTGATTCCTCTTGCATTTGTATTTCACAAATTCATAATTCAAAAAAATCCATGAAGCTAAACTGGTAAAAATGGGCTTTAGGTGAGAGAGACACCGGCTCAGCTTCAGAACTGTCATTGGGTCTTTCGCATCTCTGACAACTGGGTCACTTCCTTTTGGAGATCTTACCTGCTAAACATAGCTGTGTGTAAGGAAGTAACAAAAGTGATGGCAAACTATCTTTGTGCAAATGGTGGAGCCAGTAAGAGCGCTCTCCTGACTGTGTTGTAAGAGTGTATCTGAGCCTCTGCAGCATTCTCTTGAACCTCCAGCAGTTTGTTTTAAAACTCTGACACTCATTTTCATTTCCGTTTGTATACCTGTTTCTAACCACACACCCTGCTGAGCAAAAACCACTAAGTGAATACTAAATAAAGTGGAATGGGTGTGTTTCAGTCTATCTGCCTTAAAGAAGGCTGCAAAATACTGCATAAGCCTTAGCTTCGTTTCACTGCAGCAAAATACAAATAACCCACTGGTTACATGCTTTTCCTCCTGTAAATGCCCTTATTGTACTAAGATGTTTTAATAAATTTTCTCTGAAACAAACAAGGAAGGAAAAGTTAAACATACTTTTCCAGTGTTTAACTAGGTAAGTGAAAGCACATGGCAGGGGGGTTGGAATTAGATGATCTTTAAGGTCTCTTCCAACCCAAAGCATTCTGTGATTTAGGGCTAAATATTTTGTTCTCTATGTAGTAACACAAAGCCACTAAAAGCTACAATGACAAAAGTTCCATTGCGTATGTGAGACTCAGAACACACCAGGGTAGGAACATCCTAATCTAGGCCCATCTGCCACCCTATTGCATGATCCAATTTGTGGCTCCCTGTTATCCACAATTTAGAACTAACTGAAGTATCACTTGTTCCTAGAATAGTTGAAAGAATCAAAGTACTCAAAAGCCAATAAGCAAGGCTTTAAGAGCAAACTGCCTGCTCTTCACCAGGGACCGATCACCACCAAGCCTGTGGTACATACACTTAACAGAAAGAGTATGTTCAACAAAGATCGCTGTACTGAGACCTTCCCACTCATGAGTACAATGACAAAGAAGAAAGCCAAGGACATCTTAACTGAACCAAATTTTGCAAGAAAGAAAAGTTAGCTTTTCTAGGTCTAAGAGGTCTTTATTTCATAAGCATTGTCTTTATTTCATAAGCAGGTTCCAACTCCATCACCTAGCACAGAATTTGAAAAGAATCAGAAGTGAATCACAGAGCACTGGCATCATGTGATCAGTGACTAAGCTACTAAGAGCATGAATAACTTCTTGTAAACTCCCTTAAGTCTTACAGTTGTCATCAAAAAGTATCACCAAAAATAGTGCAATGCAAGAAAGCACCAAGCAATTGCCAGGCAGCCTTATTAAATGTAAAGCTGAAAGTCATGGGTTGCTATACTGATGCGCTACATAGAATTCTTCAAGATTTCTGCAAAGTGTTGTTTGGTTTTTTTTGTTTTGTTTTTTTTGTTTTCTGCTAGCTTAAAGAAGATGCTGTGGGGATGGTGTTATAAATGCCTGCAAAGATTATTAAAGCAGCATATGATTTGAAACATGCGAGGTGCAGTGCTATGAGATAACCTTAGAATGGCCAGAAGCAACCAAATTGAATGAAGTATTTAATGAGTATTTCATGGATACTTCCTGGGACTTCCCATCACAAACAGCAAACACTCTGCTCCCCTTCAGCTTAAAACTTA